TATATATATATATATATACATATATATATGCATGTATACTTTGTACATATATATGTATATATATGAATATATACATACACACATATATGCATATATGGATATCTACATGTATATATATATATATATATATATATATATATATATATATAGATATATATATATATATATATATATATATATATATATATATATATATGTATATATACATATATATGTATATACTTTGCACATATATATGTATATATATGTATATATACTTACACACATATATGCATATATGGATATCTATATATATATATATATATATATATATATATATATATATATATATATATATATATATACATATATATATATATATATATATATATATATATATATATATATATATATATATATATATATATATATATATATACATACACATGTAGATATCCATATATGCATATATGTGTGTATGTATATATACATATATATACATATATATGTACAAAGTATACATGCGTATATATATATATATATATATATATATATATATATATATATATACATATATATACATATACATCATGCAATTGTTGGAAATATCTTCTATGTTAAAAAGAGTAGCTATACAACACTACAAAAAAATCGTATAATGCATCAATAACGATGAATAGCCTGTTCTACCTACAAAATATCAATGCTTGCTGAGAAATTCCCTCGCTCTATGATCTCAAGCGCTCCGGAATGGTGCCTCGGGCGTGGCAAACACACACACACACACACACACACACACACATACACACACACACACACACACACACACACACACACACACACACACACACACACACACACACACACACACACACATACACACACACACACACACACACACACACACACATATATATATGTGTGTGTGTTTGTGTGTGTGTGTGTATCGATCGCGTTATCGCTGGACAGAAATCGTGGGTAAATCTCCGCCTGTCGCCCCGGGCTGATCTATCAGTCAAATGAGTGA